CCATCCCAATGAAAGCCTGGGCCTGCTGCTTAGTCTGGGGAGTGGGTCAATCCTTGATGCTGGCTCCAGCATCAGGAGGCTGCTCCCCATCTTGTGGCCCATATATGACAAGTCTGCCATCCAGCTTTGATAGGCAATCTGGCATTTTGGAGGTGATGCAGCATCCTTTTCACCTGTGACACATGATCCCCCCAGGTCTGGCTAAAGACATAGATAGCATCAATATATGCCAGAACAAAGAAATCCATCCCCCTCAGTAACTGATCCACCAGGCACTGGAAGGGGGCAAGTGCTCCCTTGAGGCCAAAAGGCAGGACCAGGAACTCGAAGAGACCTATTGGGATGGTGAAGGCAGACTTTGCTTGGGCCTCTGAGTCCAAAGGCACCTGCCACTACCCATTGGGGAGATCCACAGCAGTGCCCTCTCCAACTTATCTAGGCATAGGGTAGCTGTTGGACACAGTAATGGTATTGAGCTTCCAACAGTCCACACAGAACCAGATTGTCCCATCCCTCTTGAAGACCAACACCACAGAAAAGGCCCACGGACTGGAGGACAGCTGGATTACCCTGTTGTTTTTCCAATCTCTCTCCAAGTCCTGGGCAGCTTTCTGTGGTTCAGAATGGGGTACACCTGATGGGGAAATGGCTCCCATATTCAGGGAGTGGATAGCCAGGTTAGTGAGCCCATGCTGGTTGGAAAACAGCTGCTTTTGCAAACACAGCAGCTCTCTGATCTCTGTCTTCAGTGCAGGAGTTAGCTGGTCAGAAAGGGGAATTGATTCCAGTGAGATATCACCCCAGCTTCTGGGAGGAGACCCACTAAGGGATCCTCTCTCCCCACTGCCCACATACAGCCAGCACCAACATTTTTCTGTACCAGTATGGCTTCATCATGTTGACATAGTATATCTGCTAGCTGTGAGCCTGGTTGGACAATTCCACCACATAGTTCACCTCATTTATCTGTCTGATGACCTTGAAAGGGCTGTCCCAGGATGCCTGCAGCTTGTTCTTTCTCATGGGGATGAGAAGCATCACTTGGTCCCCAGTGGCAGAAAAGTGAGCACATGTACCAGAGTTTCTGCTTCTTTTGTGCCCTGGCTAGATTCTCAGTGAGCTCTTCCTGGAAGGTCAGTACATACTCCATCACTGATTTTCCAGCAGGAGAGGTCTCCACCTCCCATTCATCCCTCATTAGGTCTAGGAACCCCCTTACTTTCCTTCCCTATAGAAACTCAAGTGAGGAGAACCCTGTGGATTTCTGGGGCATCCCTGTATGTGACTAGCAGATGGGGTAAGTACTTGCCCAAGAATAATCCTTTATCTTCACAGCATGGATATTTTACAGGACCTTAGCATTGTTTGATTCTGGCCCAACCTACCATGCCCATATTTTGTTCCTCACCCTAAAAAAATTATGGGTACACTTATTTTATAGGTTAGTAGATTATGACACTTATCACTACATATTAATAAGGATTATCTCATGCCCAAAACTATTTCCTTTGGCCTTTCTAGCAGTTTCTCTGCCCTGCTGTCCATGTTGTGATTACCGACCAGTTCTGGCACCAGATGAACTGGCACAGCTCTAGGTTTAGTTCCCCTATTTCATTCCTCACAGCTGAGGGGCAGCTGAGTGACATGTTATCGAGAACACAGGTTACTTGCTATCTTATTCTACTATGCTTTAGCTGTTCATACAGGATACAGGCTGGCATGTCCCTGCAGCCCCTGATAATGTCAGAGCAGGGGGGTCTCCACATGCTGTCCTTGCCAGCTGACACCACTCCTGCAGCTCCCATTAATCAATAATGGAGAACAGTGGCCAGTGGAGGCTGTGGGGTCGGTGCCTGTAGATGAGGGGCAGCACATGGAGCCACTGCTGAACATGCCAGCTGCTTTTGGGGGTATTACAGCTTAATACTATGGTTAACTATGAATACCTACAATTAATACCTTATAATGAATACATACTGCATTTATATGCTGGAAATAATAATAAATTATTATGACTCAACCCAAGCAAAGCATGTTATCTAGTATGGCAGGACAGCAGCAGAGCCCCGGATGGCAGCAGGGCGACTGGGGAGAATGCGGAACCATGGACAGCAGGGGGGGGCCACTGGGGGAGCATGAAGCTTTGGGCAGCAGCAGAGCCTCCTGAGTGACAGCAGAGCCACTGGGGAGAATGCGGAGCCATGGACAGCAGGGGGGCCACTGGGAGAGCATGAAGCTTTGGGCAGCAGCAGAGCCTCCTGAGTGACAGCAGAGCCACTGGGGAGAGACTGTTGGTGGGAGCACAGCCATTGGTGGGAGCACAGAGCCCCAAGTGGCAGTGAAGCCACCATGGGGAGAGCAAAGTCCTAGGCAGCATCAGGGCTGCCAGGAGGGTAAGCAGAGTCCCAAGCAGCAGCGGAGCATCCAAGGGGAGGAAAGAGCTCCCAGAGAGTGGAGCTCCAGGTGGCAGCAGAGCCATGCGAGAAGAAGCGGAGTTCCCCACTTCTGTGGGGAGAGCAGAATCCTGGGTGGCAGTGGAACCACTAGGGGAAAGGCAGAGCCCCTGACTATAGGGGAAAAGCAGAGCCCCCAGGTGGCTGGGGGAAAGCAGAGTTCCCACTGCATTGACCTCTCCTGGTCTCACAAATTCCCAGGTTTCAGACAAGTCAGTGGTTATACATTTACACCCACTGCCTCTCCCTCGTTACAGAGATTTATCATTTGGGGGAAATTACAGACTTATTTTGTTGCAGAGCCAAGTGAAACCCAGCTTTTTATTTCATACTTAACAAATAATTAGATAAATAAGGTGAGTGAAGTAATAACTTTTATTAGTCCAACTTCTCTTACTGCAAGATAACTTTTGAGCCATACAAAGCTCTTCAGACCTGGGTAAAACCACAGGCATGCTGCCCTATGTGGGGCTACCTGCATACTTGGATTCACTAACCCTTTCTTCTACTCATGGGCTATGTCTACATTGGCATGATTTTTGGTAAAAACATGCTGCCTGTCTACACTGGGGAGTTCTTGTGCAAGAACACTGATGTTCTAATGTGAGAAATCAGTGCTTCTTGTGCAAGAACTATGATGCTCCCGCTCAGGAATAAACCCTCTTGTGCAACTGTTCTTGCGCAAATCGCCAGTGTAGACAGGCAACATGAATTTCTTGCGCAAGAAAGCCCGGTGGCTAAAATGGCACGGATGCTCTTGCGCAAAAGCACATCTCGTGCGCAAAGGCACATGCCAGTGCAGACGCTCTCTTGAGCAAATACTTTAACGCAAGAACTCTTGCGTTAAAGCGTATTTGCACAAGATCATGCCAATGTAGACGTAGCCATAATGAATTACATTTTTAACAGGTTCCAAATGGATTATTTTGATTACATTTCCAAAGCTTTACTCTTCCATTGAGGAATTTTTAAAATCAGTTTGGCCTTAAATAAAGAGCTGGGCATAAGGAACCCATTGCAGCTCCCTTCTGGAGGCTGAGAGTCTCACACATTGACCATGGTCTTTGGGCGGGGTTCCATGCCCTGCCTATGTATGGGCCAGGGAAGTGTGTGTGCAGGAGTCCCTGTGGCGTAAGTAAGTAGAGCTGGTGTGTATATGGGGGGCTGTCTATGGGGGAAGGACGGGGGTGAGCAGGGCGTAAGTGTCCCCCTTAGGGTGAGCCGGACTGTGGTGTGTGTGTGTGCGCAGAGGTCCCCATGCAGTGAGCAGGGCCACCAGGCGTTGAGTGGGGCTGTGATGACACAAGTGTGTGTGCAGGAGTCCCTGTGGCGTAAGTAAGTAGAGCTGGTGTGTATATGGGGGGCTGTCTATGGGGGAAGGACGGGGGTGAGCAGGGCGTAAGTGTCCCCCTTAGGGTGAGCCGGACTGTGGTGTGTGTGTGTGCGCAGAGGTCCCCATGCAGTGAGCAGGGCCACCAGGCGTTGAGTGGGGCTGTGATGACACATTCCTCTTGCCCATACGGTGCGGGGGGGGGGGGGGGGGGGGG